CTTCATCACTGGAGGCTTTTAAGAAGAGACTAGACTGTCATTTGTCAGAGATTGTGTAGGATTTCCTTGGCGATGAGATTTAGCCAGTTCGCACATGTTCAGCAAAACCGGTAGCTAACTTTTTGTGCCCCATTAAACCCTTCCCCTCCCAGCCATTCCTTGCCTTGCTGCGCAGCTGCTCACCCGGCCATCCAGCTGCTCACCCAGCTGGGCAGCAGGGCCAGTAGCTGGGTGTGAAAAGGAGTGGTTGGGAGAGGAGGGGTGAAGCACGGCCAGGGGTGGGTGAGGCGCCCCACGACATGAGTGATGTTGAGTTGGCCATGCCCAGCCAGTCACATGACCACCCAGACATGCCTACCCAGCTGGCCATTAGGGCAGAGAACAGGTTGTTAAATTATTTGAATCCCACCACTGGGTTTCCTTGTGTGTGTGTGTGTGTGTGTGTGTGTGTGTGTGTGTACTAGATGACCTACAGTACAAGGTACCTTTTAACTGTGTTAATCTGTTAAATCGGTCTACCTTTATTATCTCTAGAAGAGACCAGTAAATTGTCTGTAAACATCTGAGAGACACCTGGTTGTGTACAGTGAGAAATAAAATGTTAGTGAAGATGCTGGAGTAAGAGGGGTCTTGGTCTGATCCAGCACAGTATTCTTATTATCACTATAAATGCATTGTTAGCTTAGCATTCATTATAAAGCCAATATTAGACGTTCCCCAAGGAGTGACTGCTTAAAATTAAAAGCCAGTCATTGGAACATTCTTCATATCCATATTTTGCATCAAACGAGACAAAATCCCTAACTTGCAAACGTTCCTCAGAAACGCAGTGACTATAAATCAGCATTCCATCACTGAATTGTAAAGGCTTACTGATTTTCTTTTTAATGCCTTACATAACTGTTCAGAAAGTTAGTTGCTTATAGGGTTGCTGTCAGGGCTGCCATTCAGCTACCTGTGCACTGCCAGCTGGGAAGGAACAAGGGAAAGCTACCCATATGTTTGGTGGTTCAAATACCTAGCGCCACATAACAGAGTGAGCTCCCATTATTTGTCCCAGCTTCTGACAATCTAGCAGTTCAAAAGCATGTTAAAAAAAATGCTAGTTAAAAAAATGACAATCTCAAATCCGACTTTGCTTCTTCTGGAACCATCTGGCTTCAGTAAAGTATAAAGCAAAAGGTAAAGGTTCCCCTCGCACTTATGTGCTAGTCACTCTAGGGGGCAGTGCTCATCCGAAGAGCCAGCTCTGTCCGAAGACATCTCTGTGGTCATGTGGCCGGAATGACTAAACGCCAAAGACACACAGAATGCTGTTACCTTCCCACTGAAGGTGGTCCCTATTTTTCTACTTGCATTTTTTACGTGCTTTCAAACTGCTAAGTTGGCAGAATGGGACAAGTAATGGGAGCTCCCTCTGTTATATGGTGCTAGGGATTCAAACCGCTGAACTGCTGACCTTTGTGATCGACAAGCTCAGCTTTTTAGCTACTGAGCCACCGCATCCCTCTATAAAATATATCTTTGGCTAATCATGCGCCCGAGACTCTTCCTTTCTAACTTGCCACATTGGGACAGCTAACAGTTGCAATGCAGGTAGTCCTCGGCTTATGATCACATTTGAGCCCATAATTTATGTTGTTAAGTGAGACATGTAAGATTTGCCCATTTTGCAATCTTTCTTGCCATAGTTGTTAAGTGAATCACTGCCGTTGATAAATTAGTAATACAGGTGTTACGTGAATCTGGCTTCCCCATTGATTTTGCCTGTCCAAAGGTTGCAATGTGATCACATGAACTTGGGGCACAGCATGGGTCATAACTATGAACCAGTTTCCAAGCATCTGAATTTTGATCACATGATCATGGGAATGCTACAAAGGTTGTAAGTGTGAAAAAATGGCCATAAGTTTTTTAATTTTGAACAGTTACTAAATGAACTGTTGTAAGTCGAGGACAACCTGTATATTCAAGAATTGTTGACAATAGCTTCAAACCAATTTCATTGTATTTAAGTACAATGACAATAAAGATTATACTTAATACTTAAATACATTATTCTTTAAGACACCCCAGGCATCCTGTCCAATACTGCATTATTATGAATATTAATTATTTCTTTTGAGACCCAATAATTCAGAACTTTGTTCCATGTTAACACTTACTTTTATGGATCTTCAGATACTAGACTGGATCTTCAAATGCTAGGGGACTGGAGCTTCAAAATAATGAATATTTATTTCATATTTCAGCGGAGATATTCAACTGAGGTGCATGCCCAACTTTTGGGATGTTAGAATATGATCTAAAGAGCAGCATAAATACGAACATGGGGGGGAGGGGAATCTATAGGCGCCTATCCATAAATCTGCATGCATACGTAGAATTAATGCCCCAACCCTCCTGACTCTTCTTAAGGGTCCCACTCCCATCCTCCCCATGTGTCTTTGATTTTAATGTTTGTTTTTATGTTTTAGCTTTTAAATAATTGTAAGCCACCCAGAGTTACCCTATGGGCTCATGTGTCCACCCCCTTAATTTAATGCCCCCCCACCATGCTCACTGCGAATGTGAACATGACTCCCCATACTGCCCCACACATGTGTGCATGGCTTTCTTGGAGCCTGGAGAGGGCAAAAATGGCTCGTTTTCCAACTTTTTCACCCACTCCAGAGGCTTTCGAGGAGCCTGGAGAGGGCGAAAACAGCCTCCCCAGCTCCCCGGTGGACCTCCAGAGGCCAGAAATGGCCCATTTTCTGACTTCCAGTGGGCTCAGTAGGTCTGTTTTTCTCCCTCCGGAGGATGAAAAGTGACCAAAAATCAAGTAGGTAGAGACTTAGACAGACAGAGCATTTGCTATTACACTTGAACCCTGATTGGCATAATAAAATTAATGAATGAATAGCAAACAAATAAATAAATTCTATCCCAAACAACTTTCTTTATATTATTTTGATTCCAATATCTCAGGGTTGCACAAAGAAGAGGGAGTCAAATTATTCTTCAAAGCACCTGAGGGTAGGACAAGAAGCAATGGGTGGAAACTAATCAAGGAGAGAAGCAACTTAGAACAGAGGAGGAATTTCCTGACAGTTAGAACAATTAATCAGTGGAACAAATTGACTCCAGANGTTTCCTGTTTCCTATGTATGTGGATATTCTCAGTCATCCAAGCCACGGTTGTCTCAAAGACGGTTTTTCAAAAGACAACTGGACTATGTTTTTAAGAGCCATGGTGGTGCAGTGGTTAGCGTTCGGTATTGCAGGTTGACTCTGCCCACTGCCAGGCGTTCGATCCTGAACAGGTTGATTCAGCCTTCCATTCTTCTGAAGTTAATAAAACGAGGACCCAAATTATTGGGGGCAATACGCTGATTCTGCAAACTGCTTAGGGCTGTAAAGCACTGTGAACCGATGTATAAAATCTAAGTGCTATTACTGTTTTTTCCCTTTGCTTCTCATCCAAGAAGCTTCATCAGTTCTGGCTAGACAGTGGTGATGGGAAATGGAAGGATTAGTTCCAACAGGATGTTGGGTGTGTGTGGAAGGATTATATTTCTTTGCAGTCATATAATATATACGAGTACAAAGTATAATATCTCATGTCAGAACTAATTCTTCCATTCCCCTCCCTCCCCCACCCAACATCCAGCCAGAACTGATGAAGCTTCTTGGATGAGAAGCAAAACGTCGTCTTCTTCCACAAGAGGAAAAAACACAGTCCAGTTGCCTTTTGAAAAAACACCTTTGAGAGTCCTCTCCCTACATTTACTTCGAGGAAAACGCTTGTCTACCAGTCCCCTCATGTTTATAGATTGAGTTGATGAAACCAATGTATGTTATATTAACTGGTGGAATTCATTGCCTCAGGATAGGATTCCATCCAATTTGTTTGAGAGGAATAGAATGGACTAGATCGGTGTTTCTCAACCTTGGCAACTTTAAGATGGGTGGGCTTCAACTCCTGTCTGGCTGGGGAATTCTGGGAATTAAAGTCCACCCATCTTAAAGTTGCCAAAGATGAAAACATTAGACTAGATCACAGGTGTCAAACTCACAGCGTCATGTTGAAGTCACATGATGTTTCCCCGCTTCGCAGAGCTGGGGTGGGTGTGGCCTCCGCGTGACACATCCGGCCCGCAGGCCGCCAGTTTCACACACCCCAGACTAGATAAACCTCTGAGCAGGTCCAGAGGCCTTTGTGTCTTTATCAAAGCAAAGCAAGTTCTTGTTTTGTACAAAACCCTTGAACTTTTCTACACAACACTCTTTGAACTTATGTAATCAGTTCTTCCCCATCTTCTCCCTTCACTTCAGGGCTGTGAAAAGATGATGGATCTCGGTCAGCTGCTCAACTATGCGATGCTCATTGTCTTGGCTTTTGCTATTGTGAAGGTATGTGTGATTGCCAAGTTTGAGCCTGTTTTTCAGTTGTGTTTATTGTTCAAAGGACCTCCAGGGACTGGAAAGAAATGACTGCATGACAGACCCCAAATGGTTCCAATCCATCTTTCAATCCGAATGGCCTCCTCTCCCCGTTCCCATTCTGATTTCTTTTTTTTTTAAAAAGGAAAAACAATAACATCCAAAATTGGCTGTTTCTGTCCAAATGGTAGTGATCCTGGAGGCTTCCTGCAGTCTCAAGAGTCTCATTGATGGGTCCCTAAAGAAACATGGTCTGATCCTACCAATGTCCTCTAATGTTCTTTTGATTCTAAAGGTTTTTGTCGTTTCATTTGCTCTTTGGAAAAGACAAAAATCCACCCTCCAGATCGGGGGTCGGCAACCTTAAATACCCAAGAGCCATTTGGACCTGTTTTCCACAGAAAAGAAAACATTGGGAACCACAAAACTCTTTTGACATCTAAAATCAACACTGCATATATCGCTTTTTATCTCTATGCTATTTATAAAAAGAACTATAGTGTGTTGCATTTTATGAAATCAGTGTACTGCTACAGAGAACACACATTTTTATTTCTGCGTGCAACAAAAACATTTTGCACTTCGGGAAAAAAAAGATGGGTCAAAAAGCTCAATAAATCTTGCATGCTGACGGGTGTCGCACATTGGCGGTTGTGACACATATTTTGAGCGACAGGGAGCCAGAGTGGAAGGATGAAAGAACCACATGCGGCTCCAGAGCCTCAGGTTTCAGACAACTGCTCCAGATTAAGTGGAACATTCTAAGGGCTCTTCTTTTCCCTTTGAATGTTTAAGCAATCATGCAATTCTATTTCTGTCCCTGCCTTTTCTAACCTATTAGGTGTCTTTTCAGGGCCAATTAGGAAATTGATTCATCATTTCCTTGGATCCTCCGTTATGATTAATAACACATAGCCATAATCCACAAATAGCCAGTGGTTTCTTTAAAAAAACCAGAAGCACAGGGTTCATGCAGTATTTACTTTATAAACCATGATTTACAAACCATGCCACCCAGAATAATACTCCCGTATTTTTCGGAGTATAAGACGCACTTTTTCCCTCAAAAAAGAGGGTGAAAATCAGTGCATCATATACTGAATACAGCATATTTGGCCTCCCGAAACCCTAGCCCCCCCCCTTGCAAAAATGGCCGTGCATAGCCTTTAGGAGGCTTCCAGAGTGCTCTTGGGGGCTAGGGAGGGCAAAAATGAGTGAAAAATGGGTCATTGTTTTGCTTGTTTTTGCCCAGCCCCCAGGAGATTTTTATAACCCTCCTAAAGGTTATGCATGCTCCCTTTTTATTGACAAAAAAGCGGGCCTGTTTTTGAGAAAAATGGGCCTTTTTTGGGAGGTCTGCAGAGTGCAAAAACTTTTTTTTTTTAAATTTGCCTCTTCAAAATCATGGTGCGTCTTATACTCTGATAAATACGGTAAATGTCTGGTAGTAATCCTGGTTGTTGAGTAAACTGTAATGGACTGAATCCAAACAGTACATCAGGCCACAAACCTTGGTTAGAAACTACACTATGTTAGCGTTCTGGAAAACCCCAACTCCAATGAAAAACTCTTTTGAGACAGGCATTTTCTCAAAGCTCCCATTTATTAGAGCCGGCATACAGGCACATCTGGGAAAACCCGAATCAGATTTCTGGGCTTTCCCTCAGTAAGTTAAAAGTCATCCCCTGTATCCATCAATTGATCACATGGTCCAATCCATCCCGACTCGAGATATCACTTCAGCCCCTCCTCTCAAGTGCAGGAATACCATGATTTTAAGGTTTAAGGTTTAAGGTTTATTAACATTTATAGGCCGCCT